CAAAATTTAAGGATTTTAACGTAATTCCAGACTTACGGTGTGGTATTTGTGGTATCGGGTTGGCTTACCTAAAATTCACGAACTTTAGCGGTTTTCGGTAAATATTCTGTATTTTTTGTTTCCGCTATTGTTTTCGAAAAGCTGATTCACTGTTTTTGCTTTTCCTGTATCTTAATTAAATGATCCCTGGAATTCTGTACTTTCAAAAATTGATAGTACTCTGTTTCTAAGACTATTTGCGACATAATTTGCAAAATATACAAACGGCACGTGTCTTTTTGCGCTCCCGTGTAATTAGACGTTTCCCGTAGCCTTTCCCAAGAGGCTTGATTGGCACAGCTTTCTCATTTCTTAGAGTTGTTTGAAGCGTATTTTGATAGCGTTTTATTTGATTGGCAGCTCAGGTACACTGAGTTAATAGTACTCATTCGGAAAATCCGATTTATAGCAAGTTTTAAGCGTTTTTGATGAATTTTCAAAGCTTGCTGTTTTTTCCCGCGTATGTTGTTTAACTTTTGCAAAACTTTTAATGCAAATTATATATAAACTTATATAAAGAAAGAAACCTAATTAGACATAGCTGACTACTATAAAAACTCGATTCTTGCAGTTTTCACGTTTTTAATAGCACCTTTTCAATTTTTTTGGATTTTGCCGATTTCATAATCACAAAAAAACACCATTCTCCCCAAAATACTTGTGAAACCTCTTCCTCGTTGAGGTCAAAGTAAGGTGGGTTGGTTGCCACTTTAATCCCCCTCCCCCGCTTTTTTCGCTGTCTTCTAATCTCCTAAAGGCATCCGCCTCCCTCGACTTTAGGTGCACGTTGGCAACGCCGCCCCCGACGCCAGGAAGCCGAATTTTCCTATTCTACCCCCAGAGCCATCAGGATGTGGGTCCCTCAATTTGCACCTTTCACGACCGCGGCGAGATACCTCACCGCTTTCTAGGGCTTCTGTTTTTTGGGGATCACGGCGCGACGAGAGCGTAGGATTTTGCTGGCGGAATACTTTAGACCTTGTCTTTTGGTCCGTTTATTGGTATAGTTTCGATAGATTACGGTAACTCATCGTAATCTCCTATTTTAAACGGGTTATTGTAACTTCCCGGTTGTTTTTTTCTCGAATTATTAGGACCTAGGCTACTACCTGTCGGCTTTAATTTTGCATAATCGATTAGGTTCAGTGATATTTTAAGATTCTTGGCGGATTTAGGGAATTTACAAGTTATTTCGCTTCAGTCATTTGTGGATTCTTAAGTACATCTTTAGATATTGCCGGCTTCCTCAGGGGTTTACGGCTTTCTATTTTTGCTTTCAGGCGTGCCTGCCTATGCAGATTTGGGGCCAATAACTCAACATCTCCCTCTCTCTTTCTCTGCCTCTCGCTCGCTCCCTCTCATCTCTAAGGTTGTGACGAAAAGAAAAAATATGGCTTGAGCTCTGCGCGGTTGATCTTGTGGATATTCTAGATTGGTTTTTTATCTTTAGATACGCTTTCGGAATATTCTGCCGATCTCTGGAGCTCTCTCCCTCTCTCTTCTCTCTCTCGCGCTGTCCTGGTCTCTCGCCCTCTCTCTATCTCGCTGCCTCCCTCTCTGAAAACCGAGTCAATTGGCCAAAACCAACTTTTTCCGCGGTTTCAGGTCAACCTCACCTTCAAACAGTCCGACTCCCCGGGTCCCGAAAAAGACTACCTAGCTTTTTCCAAAAAACTCTTTGAATGCACAGGCGTTCAGCCCCTAGTGTGGATCTATCTAGAGCACGAGTCGGTAATTTTCCCCCTCACAATCCCCAAATGGGCGAGCGAGCCAACTGCTAGCCCTGCGACTCTTGGCCACAGCCCCAAATACCCACAGGGGAAGGCTACGTGTAATTACCGTGTACACCGCCAGCAGCAGTAGGGCAGTAGATTGTTACTTTGACTCCGGATGGAAAGAGAACGGGGTAACGAGGGGCTACAATAACCTGGGGCTAGAAATAGAAAGGTATGGGAAATGTATAGGCCGTAAGGACTTCCGATCTCTAGGGCGTTACGCCGACGACATTTTTCTGGTTGCTTTTTTGCTGTCACGCTCCCTTTAAAGTAACGGAAGGTACTCTGGAAGTGTAGGAATCACATAGCGTAATTGGCTAAGCTATCCGATGCTTACTCTCGAAAAATTTATTTAGCTACCACTTGCATCGGTCATTTCCACCCGCTCTAACCCGAAAATCACACCCAGACGTCCACCAATAATATTTGCCGAGATGTAAAAAATAGGCTCGGCTCGGCTCATGAGAAAACAACGTCTGTACTTGGCGGAGATGATGGTATCAGATTAAAGGCAGAGGTTGTATTATTGCATTGGATTTTCTTAGCATCACTATGAGCAATTGTCTAGGCTTAAATTAGAAGCATTTTTTAGTTGTCACTTCCCCTTTAAAAATACTTTTCAAAGTGTAGTAGCTTTGAAATCTGAGATTATGACAAGCTTCTTGAACGTGACGGTAATATTTTTAGTTTTCTCGTTGAATCTAAAAAACTGCAATTTTTGCGAGGCTTATTTTCCTTTTACAAGCCGTAATCGATCCAGTAGCTCTGAAAAATCGATGCCTACCCCAATTTCACGACATGAAATGCCATTTTCTGCCCTCTGCTACCTCTCGCTTCGTCGACCCCCACGTAAAAACTTTTATGTGGCCTTGCTGACGACGGGGGCAGGCAGCTGCCGCCTCACACAGCTGGGGGCATAAAAGTTGACGATTCTGGCTAGAGAACAGGGGCGGGCCAAAATTAAAGACGCCGAGAAATACAAGGCAGTAGAGCCTGTAGTAGACGAGCTACAATTTTGGGGAGGTAACCCTGTTTTTGCTGGACAAAAATTGGGGACAGACCTATTACTGCCAAGTGTACATAGAACACCCACTTTCCCGAAGCGAACACCACCGAGAAAGGTGGCTTCTTGGAGGTTAAGGGTCAGGCAGAATAGGAAGTACTAGAGGGTAGTTAGGTGCTTGAGTTTTTGGAAAGAAGTGTAAAGGGGGAGCGTCGCGGAGTATACTTTTCGATCTGGACTTGCTAAAGATATCTAATATCTAATTCTCTGTTCGCTAGCTCTCCCCACTCCCTAAAACTTTTTCGAGACGTCGAAAAGTGAAATAATACTGGAAGACGATTTTCCGGGCCTGGACTCCTTTTAGAGCAACCGAGTATGCGACTTAAATTTTCTAAATAAATCATACCCTAAATTAAGCATCCTACTTTTCACGTTTTCAATCGATTCTCACCCAAGACAAGGGATAGCCTGGTGAATGGGCCAATACAAGCTATGGCAGGCTAGCGAAGGATCTATGGCACATCTCCCGCTGCGTCTCTCTCTCTCTCTCTCTCTCTTTCTCGCTCTCTCTCCCTCCCTCGTTGTTCCTGAGACGGTTTGAGGGCACGGAATAGGAGAAAGAGAGGATTGCTCTGTGTGAATTGTGTGAATTGTCCTCAGCCAAAAGGGTCCTCCCTCAAGGCCATCCTCCTGGAACCTTGGAACCCCGACAAAATCCGGGGGGTGGCCACTTATAGCCAAGCCGGGGTGAGTTCAACGATTCAACCTGGGGATCTTGACACACATATCGTCTCTAGGCTACGGTTCTGGCTAGATTTACACTATAGCGAGGGAAGGCCGAAAATGGCAATGCAGGGACTGTGGGCAAATAGAAGAGGAGTGGCGTTCGGCTCGGAATGGAACGGAAATGGAAATAAAATGCTAGCAAAAGGGGTTGCAGAAATATGACCGTTTGGAATGTTTTATAAGTTTTGTTTAGTTACGAACTATAGTTAGCAAACGAAAAATAGGCAAACAGGGCGCTTAGAAAAATTCCAAAAGAACGCGTTTTGACACGAATTAGTGAATTCGGGACCTTAGAAAGTCCAGGTTAACGACTTGTTGGGCTTCTGTAGTTTAGATTACATTTTTTAATACTTTGCTACATAGATTGAGTAGTTTTCTACCTTTTAAAACACTTTAAAATGCTGAAAACAAATCGATCTACCGGAAACCTAAAAATCGGGAACAAGGAAGAAACACCAACAAGCATCCAACGATTTTTTTGATGATTTATGAACCGAAATGCCGCAAATCCCGGGCAGCAAAAAAGCAGTGCGTCGCCACATTCTGAATAAGTGGCAGATCCGCGGCGTAGATAAATCCTCCGATCGAGGATTTCGATAAAGCCTTCCCTCAGAGCTTTTCTCTGCCTCTACCCTCCTGACCTGAGGCTCGATTCTCAAGGATTTGAGATTTACGTAAAACTTCTATTCTGGAGTTTGCCAAGCGATATTGGACTTCTGTTGTTTATATAATTTCCTGGGGGCTTTGCCGTAATCCTTCTGCTTGTCCAAACTTGGGGTGTAACCCTAGCGTTAGGCTGCCTATTGCACGCAACTTGTCAGATTTTAGTTTTTTAGGCCAGTTTTTTTTCAGCTGGCGATTGAAGATTTCTCAGATTAATTTAAAAGTTAGTTTAACAACTGTATCATGTTGTAAAACCGAAATAACCATCTGAAACCATGCCATTGCCAAGAAACGATACCTTTAATAAGCTGAAAACTTCCGATTCGACTATTGGCGTCGCCGAACTCCGAAGTCACCCCTTTAAACCTTCTATTCCAGGTATGCAACCATCGGCGGGCAACGTCGTCGCCAGCCAAGCCCAAGTTTTGCCGAAGTTGGACGACCAGAAGAAGGATGAGGTGAGGAAGATCGAACGTTCAAGCAAGGCGTTTAAAACGTCAAAGTCTAAATACGCTGACTTTTTTTCAGCAGCCCGAATGCGACATGGTGCAGCTGCACATCCAGAAACTAGCCCAGCAGCAAATGGCCGCCCAAGCTCAAGCGCAAGCAGCCCAGCAGGCCGCCGCCGCCGCGCAACAGGCCGCCATTGGCCCTCAGATGCCAAATCAGGTAAGAGCGATAGGTACAAAATTCTATCGCGGTCACGTTATACTGTTTCCAAACCGTTAAAGTACGATACGATTAATACGATTTTTTTCAGCAACCCACCCCCGGCGACCCATCCACCTCCTCTCAAGACGCAGCCCCGAAACGGTTGCACGTTTCGAATATCCCCTTCCGGTATCGGGATCCCGATCTACGGTCCATGTTCGAGAAGTTCGGCACGGTCACTGATGTCGAGATCATCTTCAACGAGCGCGGCAGCAAGGTTTGTAGTCTATGGTAGTCAAACTACGAAAATCGCTATTAAAAATACTTGGAAGTAAAAAAACTGAAGATGCAACCCCAGATACAGGAAATCGGGTTCCAAGATCGTGCATTTTGGAACAAATTTTTGAGACAAGCGTAGTTTGTTTTCTACAAAGCACTAAAAGCTACAGGTTGGCCACCTGGGAAAACAAACGAAAAAATTCGGCTTCAAAACAGTAATTTTTCGAAACGTAGCCAAAAATTGTTCCAATAAATTCATAGTTTGTTAGATGCAAAGCACTACAAGCTACAAGCTACAATATTTGTCTTGAAAAAAACTATTCCCGCAAAAATTCCTAATTATGCGACCATCATTCCGGTAATTTCCAGCTGTTACGATCCCTTTAACGCCCAAAAAAGAATCATCCAATGATCCCGGGTACAAAAGGCTGGCTTCTTCATTATAATAAATCCCTTTTAATACAAGTCCCATAATAATACGCGCTAATCTCGTCAATCCCAGGGCTTCGGCTTCGTGACGATGGAAAAGCCGGCCGACGCCGAAAAAGCGCGCCAGGAGCTCCACGGGGCCGCCGTTGAGGGCCGAAAAATCGAAGTGAACTGTGCGACGGCAAGGATACACACCAAGAAACCGAAGAATGGTATAAAAACTCATGTTTTCAGTGTAGTCCCCAGATCTTTCAGAGTTGGAGGGATTCCCGGGTATCTTGGACCCATCATACGCTCTGCTGCAACAAGCTGCGCTTCGGCAAGCCCAGGGAGCCGCGCTGATGCAGCCGGCTTTGGCTGCCCAAGCAGCCATGCTGAGGGGCTTCATGCAACCGACCGGACTCCAGGCCCACCAGCTGCAGTTGATAAACCCGTTGGCGCAGCTGCAGGGACAGGTTAGTCGGATTTTAGCGTATTCGCACCGTTTCCTGCGGTTTTTAAGAGGATAACTCAAGTTTAAAGGGAATGAAACATGCTTGATCTACCCCTTAAAACATACTAGGTCTCGACAGCTACGCGTTGCACCAAAATACGCTAACGCGACACTAGAATTTTTGCCCGCACTTGAACTTTGCTAACGAGCAAACGTCAAGTATAGTTTGGAGTGGCGCGTAGCTGGCGAGACCTAGTTAAGGGAAGGGGTCGATTCTGTCGCCTTCCAGTCCCTTTAAATAAAACCAGATCCCCCTGAAACGAGACGGTTTCTCGATTATCTTACGTTTGCCATGGTTTTAATCAGTTTTGTCTTTTTCTTAGCCATTGAAGACTACGGATTTTTTTATATTCTCCGTACTAAATTAAAAAAAACGAGATACTGTAGATTTCCACTCGGGCATCTAAAACTTTCCCATAGGGTTAAATCAATCAAATATTTGTTTTTATTGCAAAATCAAGTTTTGCTAGTATAGTACGTGGTCATACACTCGTCAGCACGGTTCCTTCAAAATTTACACGTTAAAAAATGTTTTTCCTTTCAACCAACGTGCACGCCCAAATTTAGTTCTCCGAGGCCCAACAACAACAAAGAGGCCAGGCTGCCATGCAGCTCTATGTAAGGGATACCCCGGAAAATGAGAGAAGGCATAAGGCGCAGCTAGTAAGCGCGTGCAAAGGAGCGTAGCGTTTCGAACGTTGCTTTCGCGGTTTTGCTCTTTGCGCTCTATGCTGCCAGAAATCTCTTTTGTGACTGAATTTACATTGTTTCATTACAGATGCTGCTCGGAGGAGGAGCGGCGGGTCTCCAAGGCGCCGCTGCTTTCGCCGACCCCTCGGCGGCGCTGATCCAGGAGCAGACACGGCTTCACATTGCGGCCATTCAGCAGGCGCAAGCTGCTCAAGGTATCGTATTTTAACTTGTGCTAATTTTTTGCTTCAACTATAGTTGTCACCTAAGATAAAGCCTGAATTGATATTCTTAGAATTTAAGAAAACCAGTTAAATAAGTTTTTCTATACTTTTTGGTGACCGCCTTCTCGATTAAATTAGATTATATTTTTATATTCATCTTCTTAAAACCTAAATTCATTTTAGAAAGACTACTTTTCCATCAAAAACTGCTCGAAATTGCATGCGCTAGCCAAAAAACCCCAAAAACACAGGCCGCCGAAATTTTGCTCCAGCTTGCCCAATTTTGCGGGATTTCGATTACTCTCTTTCTCCGGCCCCTCCTTCGCCACCCACTCTCTCTCGCTCCCTAAAATGGATTGCAAATTCGGAGTGCTCTGCTAGGCTAATTTTTTGGCTTTTTCACGATCGCCCGCCTGCCCAGTTTGCATCCCCCGGGTTTTTCTCTGGATGGCCGATTCGATTTTTTCGAGGAGTTTGAGCGTGATAAAATAAGCATGAGCAACAGGTTGAGCAAGTTCTCCGGCACCGGTTTTCCAGAGCTATATGATTTCGAGTTTTGATTTCTGATTTTTGCTGGGCGAATGAGGGTGGATTGAATTTTTTATTTGCAAGGCTTTTTGGGGCACGTGGAGCAGAGGAGAAGTTTGGGAAAAGGATTTTGCATTGCATTACTACATGTAATTAGGAGTTTAATGTAGCTCGGATTGAACTGATTGACGGATTGAGACTGTGGACACTAAATACTGGGACTGTGGCTGATATTTACGGTTTTACACTATCTACGTTTTCTATATGTCTAGCGGAATGCTGGAGCTCGTGGGGCTTTAGAGGGGGGGATGGGGTGGGATTTCTTAAAAAAGAGTGATTTTGTTAATTTTCAAAAATGTTACATTTTTATAAGATACCGAAAGGTCCATATTATCGTCCGGAATCGAGGCGCTTCAAAAAAATTCTGGAAAATTCCTCTAGCTTGAAAAAAGCCAGAGAATCAGAAGAAAAGACTGTGGTCGGATTCTGAATTCTTAAACAAGCGCAAGAAGGGGTTTCTAGTTTTTTGGATTGTTCCAATTTAAAACCCGTAAATTGTGATTTGTTTTAAGTTTAGGTATGTTTAAAACGGGTTTAAAGGGGCAAGCGACTCAAAGTCAGCTCTTAAGAATTTTAGGAAGCGCTTGGGAAATCATAAAAAAAAATAGATACCATTTTAGGCCGGACATTCGGTCTCCTGCTTAACAAAATTGGATGCTAGGGACCACAAATTATAAAAACTAAGCCATGAAATTGTATCAAGTTATTTAAGGCAGAAAAACACATGACAAAAACTATTGTAGAAGACTGGGAAAAATTGTAGCCTGAAGGTCAATTACCTACAAAATACCATTAATTTCGTAGTATCCAGAAAATGGCAATCCAAGAAAGGTCTCTTTAATTTCAATTAAATAGAAAATAGAAATAGAAATTCAATCCTAATCTCTTTAATCGGTTACGCGATGAAAACAAACCATAAATAAGTGTCTTCTAAGCATCTGACCAAATATTCATTACCGTTGGCCCCATCCCCCTTTTCGCATGGGTGACCGCGTACAAGTCTTTCCGTTTTCAGCCGCAGCCGCCGCCGCCTCCCGCCCACCCGTCCCCACCTCATCTTCCGCCGCCATGGACGCAGCCACGGCCGCCCATCTGAATGCCGCATACCTTGGGCAACCGCTAGCAGGCGCCATCCCTGGCCTTCAGCTACCCATGGCCCGCTTCAGGCCCTACTAGAGATACCGTACCCCGGCTCTTGATTTCGAATTTGAAGTTTTGCGTATCCCCCTTGAAACCGCCAAAAATTATTAGAACCCACCCACGCATGTGTCTCACACCTCGGCCAGCTATGTTTTTGCATTAAGTCTTCTTTTCTTGGGCCTTACCGATGCTTTTCTGCACATTGTCCTGATACGAGCTGCGGAGGGTGGAGCGTGCCGGAATTTACAGGTTGTGGATTCCGTTACGCTACGCTCCGTAGTTTGTCGCGTCCCGGAAACTTGGATTCTGATCATCGCTTGACTTTGGGCGTATTTCGAGTGTTGTCAGTTGGGTTTTGGAGGTGATAGAAAGTCTATATTTTCTATTATTCAGAATTTTGCGCTCAAATATAGTGCATTCAAACAATCTTTTTCAGAATTTTTGAATGCACTATATTTGAAAAAGTTACAGCACATTTTAGGTCCTAAAAATAACGCCAATTTGCTTGCTCTGCCCGCTAAAAATACGCTGTGACCTCTCAAATATAGCTTTTTGGAAATTCTGAGGATAGGGTCGGATTCAGCGTCAATTGTACACTAGAAAAGTCCATCTCAAAACTCTGACTACGCTCAAAAACGTCCTAGACTAAAATGCACCCTCGGGGCGTCCCTGTCTGCCAGCGTCATTTGGTCTGTCGTGTACACCCCAAGAGTCAATTTACACCCATAGCCCGTAATCAGGAATGCGTCGGAATTCGGCACGGACTGTCCGCAATGATACCATGGCCCGTACTATATGTATAGATTTGCCCTTGACCCGCTACGTTTTTTTCTCCATTTACATACCTTTGCGTTTCTTTGCTTTTCTTTTGGTCGGTTTCTAAAAATCTCACACCCACGCTACGATGCATACTCTGACATGTTGAAGTGCAACCAGCCCCGGAAATTACTAGTATGGTATGAAAGATGCAATTTTTTCCGCTAATTAACCCTGCTCGTTTGCCCCCCACTACCTGTTTGTATGGTCACAACGCTGGGGATTTTTTTGAGGGTTTTAACGGGATTGGTAAGCTTGGAATTGACTAAATTTAACGTAAAGATATCGGAAAAATTTGATAATTTTGAAATTACCAAAATTTAATTCAAAAACGCAATTTTCTCTAAATTTTCTTGCTTCTACGTTCCTTTAAAGGGATGGCGTCCTCAAATTGCAGCTCTAGATTGTGAAAAAGCCAATCCCAAGCTTACTAAACCCTTTAAAAACTAAAGAAATCCCAAAACCACATCACAAAAATCTTGTATTCTTCATTTTCTACGTTTTTCTTGACGAGATACCTTTGACTACGCAGCTTTACGATAATATCCCCGTTTTTTGGGTTTTTCAAAACCCGCAATCTGACGCATTTACCCCCCTAAAACGCCATGTCGCTCCCCGGAAATTTACGCATCTACTACCGCAGCCGACGAGTGTGTGTTTATGCTTTAAAACCCTTTAACTTTTAAAACGCATAATTATACCTTGAAACCCTGCATTATATACCTTATTACTAGTGGATACTTCGATATACACATCGCAATTTCCTATGTCGTCTCCGATTATGGCTATTTACACGTCGGATTTTCAGGAATTTAGTGTTACATTTCTGGAATCCAATCCCCATCCCCCACTTCGATCGGTGTTTCCCCCACTCCCATTGGTGCTGTCCGTTTTTCTATCCCCCGTTTTAAACTTTTTAAATCCCCCGAAAACCCTCGAATTTCTCGTGTCCAACCCCCTCCCCACCTCTCGCCCTGATGAGGATTATATACCGTGCTGTCTTCCTATTTTGATAAAGACTTCAAAATATGTGCCTTGATGATCGAAAATGCACATAGAAACCCTAAATAATAATACGGAAAAATAAACTGTAAAGCTAGATATACAAGCTACAAATATCGTCGATTCGCTCAAAATCCTTTAAAATTAACGCACTAACTTTAAAAGCTTTAAAAACTATAAAACTCGCTAAAAAAAGTACGCAAATTCGCATATTAGCAAAGTTTCTTGGAGATGCTATGCGGGTTAACACCGGCTACATCCCGATACGATGCGATACAAGGGTGCCACCGCATTTGCGCCCCGACACTTGCGCCCCGATTCCATAGTGAACTGCGGGGCGCAGTGTCGTAGGCGCACATGGTCGGGGCGCAAATGTCGGGGCCGATACAAGACGTTTTGCCACTCCTAACTTCAAATCTAGATTTGAAAGAATACTACTTTGAGCTTGTTATTCTCCCCTGCCTCAATTTTTATCTTCTCTTTGGAAGCAGCAAAAACCCTTAAAATTGTTGCCCGGACTAGCCCTCTTTATTTCGAAAATGTGTTCAGAAATGCACTCAATTCTAGCGAAAAGCGCTCTTTTATATTGTGGCGGTGTTCTGGACATAACATCTCCCCGGAGCAGTCCAACGAACAACGAAACGAAACAAAAACCATTTATCGAATACCTCCAGTTACAACGAAATTCGAATAAAAACTAATTGCTAATCTTTACTTTAAAAATGCCTACCCTCGCTACATTCCTGGTCTCCGTATTATTACTGCCAGCTATTGTTGCGGGGAATCAATGCCTTCAAAATATCTACTTCACTGGAAAAAGGTGTCCGTGAGCACACGATCATGGACACGAATTGTACGACGCAAGATTTTTGTGTCTACGCCTTCTTCAAGAATCCGGACCCGGCGGAGAAGCAGGGATTTCAACGTGGATGTCCGGAAGAAAAGGAATGTGACGTGCTCAAGTAAGCTTTCTACGTTTTTTTAAAAGAAAAGTAACATTAGCAGTAAAACCCGCTAATTTTCTCTGATTTCTAGTAAACCCTCACCTTTAAAACCCTTAAAAACGCTTCCCAGCAAAAAAAAATCATTTTCAGCAAGCCCGACAAGTTTCACCAGTGGTACCTAACTTCCAATGGCTTCATCTGCCGCAATGATACAAACTACGGAACTGCAGGGTCCGTGTGCTGCTGCCTTGGCGACATTTGCAACCAAGAAGTGCCGATATCCTTGAAGCGTGAATAAAGCTTTTTTCGTACTCAGACAACTCGATACTCAAAATGCAGCGAATGGTCATAAAAGAACTACAAGCTCTGACAAGCTAACTACCTTGTAAACGTTTGACTAGTATGCAGAATTCGGATTTAATAAAAAGGAAATCAGCTAGGTTATTTTCTACCTCGCGAAAGGTATTACTGGGATATTATCGAAGCAACGCCGCGCACGAAATTTCAAAAGCCCCCTCCAACTTCTAAAAAAAAACATCTACTAAACGGGGAATACATTATGTTCTGGAAACTTCAGAAATCGTGTGTTTCGGGTGCTGTCGCGCAAGCCGAAACTTCTTAAAATGTAGAAAAAAGCTAGTGCATGACAGCATTATTTCCTACCTAAAATAGCTTGACTTCGTCAAAAAACCATTTGTGCTTTTCGCAACAAACATCTAGAGTCATAATTATTCCCGTTATTTCAAAAACTTCGAAACCATTACAGCCATCACGAGGTAAGACATCTGTTTCCCGCCAGCTGGCCCTCGGGGCGGCCAGCGACATTGCGGCCGTTTACTGATTGATGACGGCACGCTATCGTATTCATGAATGGTTCCAGAAGAAAAGAAGCGCCAAGAGACTCCTCCCCTTCGCAAAGACTCTCACAACACTGCACGGAAGACAAGCCTATAAAATAGCGGGCCAGCTACGTCACGACATCGCTTCCGAAACGACCCTGCGGACACCTCGATTCGAAGACGCTTCCAAAACACACAGACTACTTTGGGATGCGGCTGATATTTTTGACGGCTTCGGTTATTCTTGGAGGCGCCTGGGCGGGTCATCAATGCGTGCTCAACCACTTTTTCGTCGAGGACGGCATCAGGGAAAGGACGATCGTACCGTCGAAGGTAGGTCGAGTAAAACTAGACTATGTATCCCACTCTGTCAATTCCGGACAGCTAAAATTACCTAAAATATATTAATAGTTGTAGCACTAAAACTAGAAGTCTTAGCTCCATATTTACGCCCAAAATAACGCGTTCTTTTGAGGCGAAAAAGACTAGCATAAACCAAAGAGGTAGCTTCCCTAAATAAAGTATCGTTTCGAAAGCTGAATTTAAAACGAAATGATTTTAAAGCTTTCCAAATACGCCTAAAAATCAATACGCGCCTCGAGAGCTATTTTCGGCAGCTAATCGCGCGCTGTTTTACGAACTTGGATCGAAAGACCCCGTTTTTAGATCTTCAAGTAGCAATACAACTTAATAATATAACAAGCTGCCAGTTAACATAACCTAGCCTCATTACTTCAGAAATCCCGAAAACCCAGCATTTTTCAGTGCTACACGAACGAGTTTTGCGCCTACGTCATCTACTCCGACAAAAACCCAAAGAAAAAGCAGGGTTACGCGCAGGGCTGCGACAAAGTCGACTGTATCACTTCGCGAGATCCGGCCTCGAAAATGTGGGTCAAAGCCAGGGACTCCTACTACTGCCGAAACCACACCGATTACGGGACCGAAGGCTCGATCTGCTGCTGCAGGGGCGAGCTGTGCAACATAGATAATGGTACCACCTTTACCTCAATTGTTTCTTCGCTAATTCTATGTGTACTCTTTTTCTTCTCGTGCTAAAAAGTTGCCACGCTAAATTTACAAATTGCTATTTCCAACCCCTCAGTCAGTCTTTCCCCGTGACGAATATAGTGAAATAAAGAATCTAAACCCACGATGCTACGACTAGCGCTAAAAATTAATCGAAAAATCACCGGGTTCAACGTCCAATCCCTGATTGATCGTCAAACGTCTTGATTTCTTCAAATGCGACTAGAGCACGACATGGATCTTGTAAGCAGCGACTAAACCTCTAAAACATCACGTCTTAGCGTTAGTTTATTCATGCACACAATCACGAGACTATTCACCAACCAGCAGCACAGAAAAAAAAAAGAAATCACAAGTTGACAATATAGAAAAATTCCGTAATCACATAGAAATATTTACAATCCGGCATCCGGGCCACATCTTTAGTTTTCGATTCGATCGAACACGCGCAGGCACTTCGATTTGCCGGCCGTCAATTGGGTGTAGAGTTGACCGTCTTTCAGCCATCGCTCGATGCGGGAGTCGACGTCTTTTTCCTAGAACAAAGTGGCTAAATAGAAAAGGTTAATTTACCTCAATCGCCCGCTGCTCTTGAATCAAATGGCCGTCGACAAAGTTGAAAACGGTGCGGAAGTGGCGCCCGTCGATGGTGGTCTACAACAAAATTGGCTAACTTGAAACCTGCTCACCTCGTCAAACTCCTCGCCAATTTTGAAGCGTAGCGTGAAGTTCTTGAACACGGACTGGCTGCGTACGACGACATCGTTGCCCTAATTTACGGCATTGGCAAAAAAACAATGAACGCACCGTAACGGTAATATGCAGCGTGACTGGCGTATTTCGTGCGGCGACCCGGGCCAAGTAGCCGACGCCGACCGTCTGAAAGATCTGCTGTTCAAAAGTCTTTCAAAATAGTATACCTTCATGTAATCGTCCCAGCCTTCGCTAGACACTAATTTCCACGTGCCCTCGAACTCGGCCATTTAGCGGCTGCTTGCTGAAAATAAAAGTTAGCAACATTTTTCTAAAAGAACGCAAGGGAAAAACGGAAATAGGACTGAAATAATGCGCGAAAGGCACATGCAACAAAAAGATCTTAGCGCCGAGATTTCTCTACAAAAAAAGGAACTTTCCAGCAACCCCCAACCGAAATCTGCCCATGAAACTGCAAGAGGTGATAAAATGTGCTTTTCAGTGTTGTGCTATCCAGTTGCATATCCCCAGAGCAACGCTCGGGTTTGCCGAAAACAGTCTGGCCGAAGGTCGGCCAAGCACCAACAGGAAAAAACAAGTTCTAGCAGCCGTGACGTGAAAAACGGGTGATCCCGGGCACTGCTAACACGAAAGCCGGGAAATGGGTCAAATTCACTAACCAATTGCGCGAACAGAAAGATCGGTTTATGACGCGTAAAAGCCGAAAATGGAGACAAAGTCTAGCAGAAAGCACCGCGGAGGTGAAAAGAAAGAAAAAGAGAAGCGGAAAGAAAAACTCGAAAAGAAAAGTAGCTCCATGACAATCCAATTCACGAATTCCGTATTTTGGAGTGTAGCGTAGCATTCGAAATCTTTTTTCTTTTCAGCACTTTTTAATAAAAGTTTCTGCAAAATAAAAGAATTTAAATTTATAACCTTAGGTTTTTTTAATAGTTATTTTATTTGAATTAACCGGTTAATGTGTTATCTCGATAAGTTAACGACGAGCTGTCTTCAAAACAAATCCACTGGTTCGAAGAAAACGGGTATAACGTTCAAAAACAGTGTGATCAGGTTTGTTTTCTCTTTATTTAGCCGTAGAACTTGTGTTTGCTATAGTATAACGGCGGTATCATACAGCCAAAGTCAAGGTTTTATTCATTACCCGTCAGCACTCTTCCGTCAAATACTTTCAAGCGGCAAAAAAGCAAGCACAACGCGTGTCAGGGGGTGTGAATCGAGATCAGATCAAGAGATATGGCTTTGAAAAGTGGGCCGGTGTGTTGCGAAAATATAATAATTTCGATGTGACGCAAACCGTTGAGATCAGGGTTGGAAAGGACTTGAATGTCATAGAAAAAACGGAGATGGGCTAGGCCGTGAGCGGTATTTACACAAATTGGCATTTGAAGGAAGCAGAAGCGATAAAGAAATTGCGTAAAAGGGATGAGATCTATTCAGATTCCCGTGATTCGTGTCTTGTAACGGCTGATTTGGTAGGGACCGTAGAAAGGACGGCATGCCTGGTGTGGGCAGTCGTCTCGTAAATGCTTGTCGATAAATAGAAGGCGTTGCACGCGAATTGTGAAAAGTAGAGGGCTTGGCTGATAGCTGAAATGGCTTGGGTTTTGGTGGTTTGTTGGTTTGGAAAGCTTCATTTTGTAAATTGAACGGATGAGGCAGTTTGTAAGATTTATGGTTTTTCTAATTTTTGGTAGTTATGAAGACTCTAGTGATCGCTGATTACGTTGTTTTCAAGCTTTTGCTAGTTTCCAAAACGTCATTTGTAAAAGCTGTGAAAGCTTGGCGAATTTTGTAGTTAGTTACGAGTTTAGCAAAATATTTTCTAGATTCTGCTAGCTTGGAAAGTTTAGTTTTTCAAGGTTACTAAAATCACCGAATTTAGTTTCTGCTAGCTTATAAGGTTGTTTTTGGAAGTTTAGTTTTTGAAAGCTCACATTCAATATACTTTGACATCTCTGAATCCGCATCCGCTTGCGGATCCGAGTCCGTCAAACTGAGCCAAGTTCTCAGAATATTGTGTGGCAAATTGCACAGTAGATTCAACGCCGAGATGGTGATCGATCGCATTATCATCGATTGACGGCGCTTTTGGTAGAGTAGCCGTTTTTTGGACATGTGCTAAAGGAAGGGTTTTAGATGAATTTAGCGGGTTTGGACTTACATCTCCAGTACATTGGGCCATTGACACCACAAGTGCCATATTTGCACCACCACCCAGGAAGTCGCTCTCGGCAATCGATATCCTTGAGCTAGAAAGGGTTGTTTTTGAGGCCTGGTGGTATTCAGTAGAGAAAGTGCGTCAAAACGTCTTGTAGAAGTCTAGTAAATTTGTTATAATTACCTCCGCTCCATGCTCGGAAGTGAAATAGCGTATCTTCTTTCGTAAAAAGAAGGCGGCTCCTCGATGGTGCCGTATGGGGAGTAGCAGTGGAAAAGGACGATCCCGTCGAAAAATATCCGCAATATTGCGGGTACGGCGTAGAATAGAGTGACATCCATTAAGTGTGCCATCTGAAATAGGCTTTATTTTTCACGAAATTTATTTTTTAAAGCTTTCAGCAAGCGCCGAATAATTTTGCAGCGGAATGTTAGCTTTTTAATTATGGTTAGACTACGTGTGGCTTACTTTTCTGGTTGAGGTATCAATTTCCCGATTCTCGCCGCACATCCCGGGGCTGTGCTCCGTCTCGCCCTCTTGCTCGCCGTAGATGTAAACAGCGACGAAGAGGATCCAGGACTCGAAGAAGCAGCAAAAGCAGAGCAGCAGCCTAAATTAGAATTTGCATTAAAGCTAAATTTCCAGTTTCATAGATCTTACTTGACAGTTTTTTGTATTTTCAAAATTTTCCGTTCTATATCCCGTAAGGCAAACGTACTTTAACGCATCCCTCGGCTGCCGCCATATCGTTCGATATTTCAACGGGTGGAAGACAGCTGTATATCGCAATATTGACAACACTAGCCACGACCACACGGAGAACGCGGATGTCGTGTGCATCAGGAAGATGTTTACCTAGAGGCGATTTTTGATGAGTTATCTAGGTTTTTGCTTACCTTGCAAAACACATTGAACACGGCCAGCTGGTTTTCGCTGCGTGGCGTCTCGATGTCGTGCGCGGCTCGCATGTTCCACATATGGAAAATTACCTGGAAAAAGTAGGGGGTAATCATAAGTTCGAAAACATAATTTTTGACAAAGAAGCTAGCTGGTAAGCGATGAAATGACGTGTCTACCTTTACGTTAGGGTTCGCATATAAATGCAGCTTTGTAGCGAAAAAAAACATTTTACGATGTTTTTGAAAGTAGTCTCGGGTATTTTTAATAGCAGTTGTTTTAATTAGAGAAATCTATTACCTGTGAAAACTCGGCAAGTAGACACACAGAATCTGCCACCGTCATGCCACATAATGGTAAAGCGGAAGTCGTTTCGAAACGAACGGCATTCACCCTGAAATTAGCAAACAATAACAATAGAGTTTTTGGATTTCAAACGCAACTTTTGAATCGTAAAAACTTTAAATAAGCCACTAAAAGCACCAAAATATACCGAAAAACGTACCAACTTGAAAATTACGTTTTCTAGACTTTTCTTGTGCACATTTTGTTGTTAATAAAATTTTAATGAATTTATTATAGGTACCAATATGAGAATGGAGATTTATAAACTTGCTTTTAGCTTTATAACCTAATTTTTCATACATAAACACTTCAATAACTTTACAAAAATTACCTGGCCACCCGAATCAGCCGCGCAAAGACGTATAAATTAATGGCAATTCCGAGTATCGGGACGACAATGTAGATGACGATGAAGGACAGGTTCATCACTTCATCGACGTTGCCCCGCTGAAAATAAAAAACATTTTTCAATCGATAAACATGTACACAATTGGACAACAATTCAGCACAAAATTTTAGTGAAACAGGCTGACCCGTCCGGCCAGTTTTCACGGATTAGCGGAGGTGTAGGGTGTAGCGGACTAGTTGGTTTGTTTTTGTATCGGGTAATGGTGAGGGCAGCTTATTTTGATTGGGGTAAAGTAGAGGAACATTACAATGAGTGGGTAGATTTTATTAATAGCCGGTGTTTGAAATGGATAAGCGGAAGCTGAGCCAGTTAATCCCAAAATCGAGAACGTTGGACTCAGAGAACACAGGTTGGCTTTAAAGTGGTCTGGCTGGCGCTCAAACACCAGTCGTTTGAGCTCGTTACTTTATAAAAACAGTTATATGTATAGCACCACATCAAACGCCAACAAACCCCTTAAAAAACCATTAAAAGGTATAGAAATCTCTTGAAACTAAACAGGTCTAGGCGGGCAAGTTTCGAAGCTTGTCGGAACAGTAATGTAAAATTTGCTTTAGCGTTTAGCAATCTTGGTAAAAGGCATCCAACAGCGTTAAAGCTAAAAAAAAATTCGAGGAGAGCTTATTTTGGCAACCATCTAATGGTTAGACAAACAGTAAAAAGGTAGCGTTTCGCATTTGCAACGTCGATTAAAGGTATAAAAAGTATATAGAAAGGTATCCTATTAGGAATCGTCCCAAATGAGCGTATTTTAGGCGCAAAACTGCGCGGTGAGGTGCATGGCAGATGGATGTTGTTTAGCACGCGATGCTACGCGCCTGATGTCTCCGGAAAAAGACCAGCAGATTTTTGAACGGGGAAAAGAGGCGTATACTTGCTACGCTAATTTGTGAGCTCAAAGACCGTCGTAATCCACAAAACTTGACGCGTTGAAGCTTTCAATAAATGTATAAATATGAAATTACCATGGTTGTCGACTATTATCAAGGTTGACCCAGTTTTCGTATATTGGTAGCTAATTACAACGGAATGTGTAGTTTTTAGGAATCAAAATCGTAGCCCTAGCGCTTCAGAAGCGCCATTGATCATCGAGAATACTCAACCCGGGGTGGCCACGAGCGAATTATACGAATACTGAGTATCAGCCCGGGAAGAAGGAGCCACCACTGTCGGTGTGGCACCTCGGATGAATATGAATGATTGCCATAATTCGTGACTCAAGTGGGTGTGCACCTAGGGAAGGTGGAGAAGGCCAAGGAGCTTCCCCATGCTAAAAAGCCTAGCCGGAAGTGGCGCCTCCGTTTCTAAAGGCTTCTTCAAGGGGCGACCGACACGAGGACGGGGGTTGTAGGGGGAGGAAGAAGAGTTTGGCCTTTTGCCGAGGGCTGCGTGTGCATGGGATAGTAACGGAAGGGCTGCTGGACTTTTACATAGGTGAGAGGATGTGTTCTTTGGATAATTCTTGTAGCTGATTAATTTTAACGCCAAAAAATAAGCTTTTGCGGTGCATACGGGTTGATTTTGCAGACAGTAGTTCACGCCGAAAACCATAAACGAGCTCGATCAAGAAAATCCGAGTCAAAAAGCGTCATTAGCGCACAGAAAAAATGCCTCGTTTCCAGCCCTACGTATTTAGCTCAAGCTCGGCATCGCTATACTCCAAATGACACCGAAAACGTTGCGGCCAAAGCATTGTCAATACGGTTTTAGCCAGAAATTGAAGGTATACTCGGTTACTAAAGCCGGAAAATGAGAAGAGAATGTGGCATCAGCGCAGAAAAAAACGCGTTTTATGTAGTGCGTCGTAGCCCATGCTTTGACGACGTTATACTCCAATTTACGGGTCCAATAGATACGTAAAATGTCGTGAAGCATCTTTTTTGAAGCGTCATTTCATGAAAAGGTATGTTTTTTCCGAGGTATCTACCAAAATAAAATATTACTGGTTCTCAGAAACGGTCGGCTCTTCTTAAGACCCGCTAAAAACGCAACATCTGGCTGGGTTAAGCCGAGAATGACCTTTATAAAAAAAAAACAAGAAAACCACATGGGTGTAACAGCACCTTTCACCTAACCTACCCACCGAAAATACCCACCGGGAACAACCCCCACATCCACTTGGTCGTTGCCAAATTTTATTTTTGGGCAAAAATCCGCCTCGCCATGGGACCCCCGTCTTGCGCTGTCTCCCCCGGGCCTTGATTCAAGGGGCTGAGAAGTAGGTGTGGGGGACTTGTGCGTCCGCTCGACTTCTGCTGGCGAAAAAACTTCAGGGTTCTCTGGAATTCGGCCCCGAAATGGAGGGGCATGGGGCCGAGAATAGACGGTGAAATGGAGGGCATGATTGGGGTCACGTTTTTGGGGGAAGTTGGCAGTTTCTAGTATGCTTTTGTGAGGTATGGTCGGCTTTAATAAGAGTAATAGAAGTCAGTAATAATTCTGTTTTTCCAGTTTTTACAAAAAACGGATTTTAAACAATGCTTTACTTTGAGGAAGAGAGGGAAGAGAGAGACAGCGGGGAGAGAGAGAGACAGCGTGAGTAAGAGAGAGAGAGAGATGGTTGGAACATCCTAACAAAAGGTATCCAATAAAAATTAGAGAGTAAGCTTGAGTTGACAAGACTACACGACAACCAAAGCTCCGCTATAGCCTGGTACAAAAAACTCCTTAATTACAGTCGCCAGATCTCAAAAACCATGGTGTAGCGGATCTTTGCCCAGAAACCCCTGGAAACAAGTCAGGAATTTGACGACAAGCCGGCGCATCGGAAGCAGAAGCGTCCCTAATGACCGCCCATTTTTTCTGGAAACCGGAAATTACGAACTTTTCCAAAATTTCTATCAGGAAAACTAGGGGAAAGCAAAATCACTGACCGTGGACAGGCAAACGCCAAATTTCCGATTTCGCAACTACCGGTTCCGGATGGAGTCGTTGCAGTCAATTCCCATAATTTCCGCTTTTGCGGGTCTACTATTAGCGCAAAGCCGTTCTTTCCAAATTGCAATCCGGGGAAAGGTTCGGAAACAGTGAATGTTGGTCTCAAAACAGCAAAATTTACCAGGGTCGGAAACGTGTATTTATCTCAAAACACGTAAAATTTAGCATTTCTTTGAAGTTTACGATCTTAACTGACGCGGGCGGTTTATTTCTAACATTTCGGATAGGAAGTTTTTGGCTAAATTATTTTTTTTTTAGAAATCAAATTTGGTCCCGGAAGCGCAGCAAATTTTCAAATATATCTCGGCTCAAAAATTTTCGATTCACTTTAAACAACCCGATCGGTAATAGAAATCGGAGCATTCCGGAATCGATGCTGGCGTTAATTCCTTAGCTCGTTCAAGGGGTATTTCTCAGTATTTTTATCATTTTAGAAATCGATTAAATTGGTATTTTGGTCCCAGCTGGCCAAAAAATTTGCAAATATCAGCAGATTCAGCTTTCCGCCACAAAATAATTTCGATTCACTTAAAAAACAACCGGGTCGGTAAATCGTGAAATCAGGCTTCCAGGAAGCTGTATGCCTTAGTTTTCAAGGGGTACTTAGTTTTTTATCGATTAGATATTGGTATCATTTCGTGCTCTGCACAATCAGAGTATTCAGTTTTTCCAGCCACTAAAAACCGTCGCGGGGCCCAAAATTCGAATTATCTAGCAAGCCTTTCGGTACCGTAATTTTCGAAAGGTAGCATTAACCTTTAACGGATTTCACATAAGTATCATCTCGTACTTTAGACGATCAAGCATTTCACCTTTTTAAGCTAGCGCTAAAGTCGTGGCGGGCCGCACGGCAAATCGAAAATTCAGAGGCGCCCCCTGAAGTGGGGGGATGTTCGGGCCCCATCCGCTTCGCCAGCCTCACTTGAGAGCCGGGATCCCCTGATAAATCGCCGGCCACCAAATTTGGCGTTTTGTCTGAAAAACGACACGGGCCGCCAGGATCGACGCATGGTGACGCTGAATAATTTGTTGGTGGGCTGCTGAAAAAATGGGGGAGCTTCCGCTTCCGCGTTCTGCAGGCTAAAGGAGAGGCCAAATTAGGAGGATTTTTAGAGGATCATTGCGGGTTTAGAAAACATTAAATTAACGCCATTAAAAATCGGAAATATCATAAAAAAAGCTGCAAAAACCAAAAAAGGAATTAGGGACTTAAAAATAGCTTCGCATTCGCAGGGCAGAGAAAAAGCCCAAATTAACCGAATTCTTGGAGGACCATTGCTGACATAAAAATTAACCATTAAGACTAACAGTTATTAAAAATTGTATATTGCATAGGACAAAAAATGATGCAAATTTTAGAAATTACGAGAGCACTAGAAAGGTTACTTGAAAATTAGTCGGCGACAGACAAGGGAAGACAAATTCCGACGTTTTTCCCGCTACCCAAGTCAGAAACTTAATTAAGCTATAAATATATTTTTTATAGCCCGAAAAAGCGAGTGAAATAGTGACTCTCACCTACGCAATCCGGGACCGATTTTTTGGATCAAAAATATCACCTGCCGGTGGGCCAAAAAGGAATTCCTAAAGATTCAGCTGAGAAAAAGTTGCTGAACTTTGGTTGCACTCTAGGAGCTATTTTTTTGAAACCTTAAATAGGAAAATTGGTTCTAGAACTTTGGAACGCCTGAAAAATCACCGAGGCACTTGACAGCTTCCGGAAATTGTTAGGAAGAGCTCGCCAGGCGGGTGGCTCCCTCGGGAACGTTTTTGGGTAGAGGTTGCCATATCGGGTTCCTTGGGTTTCCTTGGAAATAGAAAGAAGCGGTTTTAGGGTTGAAAACTCAAAGATCTATTTTAAAAAGCGGGTAGAACGCTTAAAACTGGAAAATCGCAAAATTTAACGCTTAGAATTTCGACAAAAAAAGTTTAAAGCCATAGTTGGATGCCTAGACCACTTCTAAAAACTAGTAAGATGCTGAAAACAAGTTAACAAAAACCGGTGGACTTTTTTAAATAATGAACCGATTAGCTTATGAAATTAAAGAAACTTAAAAAGATTTTCAAAATTCAAGCTGGACATTCTCTGATTTCCGCACAA